TCTCATGATGGAAATACAAACGCTGGACAAAGTACACAAGCTCGGTACGTTCATAATGTGGTACAATTATGAAGCGCAATTTTGCCTAAGCTCTTGATTACTTCTCATTGTTATCTTTATTTATAGAAGTAACGTAGATACTCATCCTACGACGGCGACACAAACCAGAAGTACATCGCGTCAACAAGCGCATTCTTTAAGTCTTGGAATGAATTTTCACCAAGGACTTGAATTTGATCCTTTCCTTCCTTGTAATTCTCACCACGTTCGGCGATTACCACCAGCAACATCCCATGCTACCACCTCTACATCACAAAGAGTTCGACCTAGTCAAGCATCAGCAACTGAAAGTCAGCCTCAGGCGCAAACAGGTGTGCGTTTACAATAACGGTGAAATAATGACAGCCATAAACACTGCTGTTCAGTAAAATTATTACTGTTATTTACCAGTTGACTCATTCCTGTGAGGTTTTGTGTAGCCAACTTCGATTATGTACCCATGAAATATGTTGTCAGGGTCACGATTTTAAGCAGTTTCTTTCTATACATGGTACCGTCGCACGGTTATCGAGATATACCCAAAAGTATTTTTAACCTTACCCATTTAATGTTTTGCATTTTTTCTACGGTTTGGGTTAAATTTTAGTTACATCGGGATTAGATTTAACTTGTATTTAGATTTGGTGGTTAATAGAAAAATAACTACAATTTATGAATGTAAAGTTTAATAATACTGGGTAAACAAATGCCTTACAGCGGCCGACGTACAAATGCAGTGGATGAAGTACAGTATATAATTTTGAATATATTTTATCATATATCTGGGAAACTGAACTTCAGGAGCGATTATGTCTAGAGAGAGAATTTGTTCATAACGACTTGCATAATTTATGTTAAGGTCATTTAAGTCAATGAAGAGGTGAAACTTTTAAATAATTGTTGAAGCTTTTTGCAAATATCTCAGACATTAAAGCTGAGTGACAGGAATGTATACACTAAAAAGTAATTTACAATTATATGCCTAACAACATATTTTACGGTCAACATAATCGAAAATGTGGCTACTAAACCGCATATTTACCATATTATGATCATTATAATCATTCTTAGCAACAACTTCGGCAACCTCAACTAGTAATACTAATTCTATAAATACTACGGCTTCATCATCACAAACAAGTCCTTTTTTGAGGACATTGCAACAGACGCTAGGACATGTTATAGAAGGTCGACCGCAAACCACTTTTGGTACCAACAGTAACAGTAAGTAACCAAGTGTTATATAAGTGATCTGCTCTTTTTTAAAACAATATTGTATATATTCTTGGTATATTGTGAATCCCAATTTAGTTGATGCTCTTGATCTTGTGAGGCAGATGATTTTGTTTACAGGTCCGAATAATGACCTGGCAACGGCAGCGGGGAGGTCTGTTAATTATTTGCATTATATGTTTTTATTCGTTGTGGGAAATGTGGTAATAATAAGATTGTTTCATTTATTAGGGACCGCGATTTAAATATTGAAGACGTAATATTACACTTTTCTCTAGCAGAGCTTTTGGAACCTTTAATGTCAGCCTATTCACAGGATCCAATGAACGAAGGAGTTTTTCTTCTCAACTTAACTAAATGTGTGGTAATGAAACAACAAGTATATTACTTGAAAACTGAGGTTTAGAAGATTATATATAATAACGCTATATAATTTTTATGATAAAATACGTAGTTTCAAGACATAACGCTTCTTCACTTGCATCATGGACAATGGAAACCATTTTCTCGCCGAAGAGTGCCGCTAATGATATTTCTGGAAAATACTTTTCCAGATTCTTCTGCGGAAGACCTTCCAGAGCAAATTATAAACCGTGCATTGTCAGAAATAAGACCAAAATTGCAGAGTTTGTTCGCAACAGCAGAAGTTAATAATGGTGAAAATGGTTTGCGCATAGATATTTGTGCAACTATAGAAGCGTTGCTTCAACACAATATCAGACATATTGTACAATTACTGTTTAATAATGGTTGGTGTTTTATAAGTTGTGAACATTTCATTAAGTTCCGTTCCAACAGTATAATCTATTTTTTGTTGTAGATATCAGCGATATTACATTCGCGCAAGAAACGTTCAATATTTTACAAAATTTAAAAAAGCAATTACTACCAGTTCTCCAATATTCTATACAAGGTGGTTTGTCAGAATTTGTGTCTATGCTTGCACGGTTTGGGGTGAGCTACGTAATTTGTATGGTTATTCAATCATATATTCTTTGTTTAAGTATGTAATTAATACATTTCTGTTTTAAATAGGCTGAAAGAGTGGAGTGTCCTGAGCCTCTTATAAGATCATGGGCTGAGGAATTCTTTGTTTCTGCTTATCATAACGCGACACAACCACCCGATTCAGAAATTCTGCCACTTTTAATATATAAAGATGTGCCTCGTTCTGAACCGTCAGAAGTGTCCTCAGATTCAACGCAGCGCCCAAGTCAAGCACAGTCTAAAGTAGAGGTATGTTGGATATGGAAACAACTTAAATATAACATAGAAAAAATTGAACAAATCCGTACAATTGTAGCCTACGAAGACCGAAGCCGTAGAAGAAAAAGCAAATTTAGAAAATTCATTACCAGATAATATTGAGGAAATCCCAGAGACGTTTCCGGGACATGAAGCGCTACCTTCAGTAAGTTTATGTTTGCATTTATACAATCACCTACATTCTAAACAGTAGTAATGTTAAAAGAAATGTTACATTATAGGATTGGGTACCAATAATTGCTCGAGATGTCGTGAGATCACGTGGTCAGTTACTAACACAAGGAATGACAAATGGAAGTGTAACCACATTCAGTGATGCCTATTTAGGTATACTGCCCACTAAACGTCGTAAACTAATTGAGCAACAAAAACCACGGTTATTAGTCAGTACTACACCTAATCATTCAGCAATATCAGCGTCTCTGGAACGCTTAGTCAGAGAAAGTGTGAACCGTGCTGGCGTAGAGGAAGTTGATGGTGCTGCAGTTGCTGTTGCCAATGATCCTGGCGTTAGACGTGCATTCGGTCAAGCAATCAGAGATTGTTTGAATCCATGCAGATGCGAAACGGCAGATTTTCCAGATCCTTTACGTTTCCCTAATGCTACTAAATATTTTGTGAACCAAGATAGGGTACCTAAATAATCATCCATTCTAAGAGAAAATCAATTTATATTAACTTAGAGTAATTATGAAGGCAACACACGTAGTTCTAAGGAAGAAAAATGAAATATTGTACTTAACCCCTTAACCGTGGAGTTTTTTTGAACATGTCAACACTGCTACCGAGATTTTTTGCAATTTAACGCACTTTAATTTACTCTTTTTTCAAAAGTAGATGTTTATATTTTATAAATATAATGAAAAAGGAAATAATAAACAAATTTTTACATAGAAATTTTTGCAAACGCACCACATGATAACTATCGCTGTTACGGGGTTAACTGAGACCAATAAAGATACAAGATATATTCATAACTTGTAATTACGATATTGTTTACAGTTTTAACTGCATTCATTGTTTTGTGGAATATAATAATTTTGATAATTCCACTACTTCTAGAATGAAGAATTTCACACACGAAAATATAATATAATCTATCTGCTCGGTTTAATTAACATAACTTGTACGCTTGTGAAAGACGTGTAATTTTTCAGTGTATAAATAAGTTAATTAATACTACGCTTGGAAATTAATCGATCACCCTTGCTTTTTTATCGTCCTTTTTAAGTAAAGATTTCTCATGCTAACCTATTGCAATCTTATGTACTTGAGTAGTTAACAGTTTGACTGTTTAGTTTAACGGTGTTGGTATATTATAGACGTAGACAAGAAATTCATACAACGTCTGTACGAAATCACTGTTCAGAGATAAGATAGACTTGACATCACAAATGAAGTAGTATCATATCTAGTATTTTATCTGTGATATTATATTTGAAGAATACTGTTACCGTTGTTCAAATATACCTAACAGAAATTAAGTACATGGCTAATTTGATTCCAACCAACAAGTTTAAAATCTCATATTATCAGTATCGGATGTGATTTTCAATAGATTCTCGTGATTATTTGCGAATGAGATCATTTGCATTCTACAGTACAGACTTCGAGTTTCAATTTCATGTTTCGAAAGTTGAAAAAGCTTCAAGTTTTTACATGATGGATAACCATTTTGATCTACAATAGAATTTGTACTGTACTAAATGATGAAGTTATAGAATTATATAATCGTATTAATTTGATGTATGAAAAATTCGTTACATATGAGAATAAATATATATATATACACACACACACACACACATTTCTGAGCTATTTAAAAAAATAGCAAAAAAAATATACTTAATTACATTTAAATTAAGGAAAAGTTTTAGAAATACAGAATTAGATAGAATCAATATTTCTAAAATAAACATTTCTTTTATAAAAGATTATACATTAATTAGGTATTTGTTTCTTATAACAGATGTATTAAACTAAACAAGAATATAAATCAAATAATGAAGAAATCTTAAAAGAATTGTAAAAATTTATGTATTAAGGCCACTTTATAGATTCTTTATAATATATAATAATACATGTAATATATCACAATAAAAGTGTTAGAAAAAGTCTATAATATCTGAATTGACAATTATTTTTACAACAGAATGTCTAGTTGAACAGACTACCAATTTATAAATTATTCGAAAATATTTTACACTTGATTTATAATCATTTGTTTATGAAAAGTTCATGCTTACTTATATATCATTCATCCAACTTTTTATAAAATCATAGTGAATAAATACTTTCTTGTCGTGAATTTATTGTATTAGAATACAAATCGGGACGGAAAAATAGTCCAACATATAGGATATCTGAGATTCTGTTCAAGTTTATGTCTGAAATGGATTTCAATGATGAAGAATCGAATCTCAGATATTCAAATCCTACAAGTTCTCGTACAATCCTACCGGACTTTTTTTGATCCAACCTAAGCTCCCAAATTTTAGGCATATGCACATCTTCAGTAATAAGTTAACAGCTTTTGACTGCCTTCCCTATTGTACGCCTCCCTTTTAATTCATAAAGTATCAAAGCATGAATTATTTATTTCTCGCTCCTTATGTTTAATTTCGTATAAACAATGGAATATTAATATGAATAAAAAATATAAACGTTATGTACCAAATAATTGGACAAAGCTTTTTGATGATACTTCAACTGTTACGTTATTTTTGCGCAATGTTACATAAAATTTTATTTCATTTTTTATAAGATAAAAAAACTTCCATCTATATAATAATATCAGTCTGATACGCGTTACCTGTCGTATTCACGTAGATTGTATCAAGGACACATCTAAAATACAAAATTTTGCTCTGCATACAGGACAAGTACATTTGGAAGACAACCATGTTTCTGGTGCATTTTCATCTTGTCTTGATGCAAACCTGTAATAACACATATGTAATAGCAACGTAATTCTTACTGTTCATAATATTATTTTTAAATAATTATTAGTATTATACTTATTGCATGAAAAAATGTTTAAAATGAACAGCAATGTTTATTTCACCCTTATATTATTTACATATCAAATTAAAAAAAAGACAGAATTTGCAACATTTTTTCATTTAATGAGTAATTTAAAACTAAATTGAAATTTTATGTTAGACGAATTACTTGGTGTTATGTAATCATTACATATCGTTAAAGAAAATTTTATGTTTTTGAGAGAATTATAAGAATTATAATTTAATATTTATCAAATAGAATATTTTATTTATATTTTATCTTTCAGTAATAGTTATTAAAATGAAACATTAAACCTATATGTTTGAGTAGAAAATTTTCTATTGTTAAAATATATATGTACTTACCATTTTGCCATACAGTCTATGCACCACATGGGACGACAATAACACGTAGTGCAATCTTCAGGATGACCACTTCCTATGTCCCTAGTGCATTGTTTAAACAATTTTACATTTGATGCAACTTGCATACATCCAATACATTGACCCAATTCCTTAAAAGAAGTAAGAATATCAGTTTGAAAAAGTGAAATTCATATATAATTATAAATTAATTTAGTATATAATATAATTTAGTATAAACTTATATATAATAACATACATCTGCAAATTCATAAACTGGATTTTCCTGAACACGTTCTTTAAAATAATCAACAAATCTATCCAGTAAGGTTTTATGGAAATTAATATTTTGTAATATTACAATGGGGCGTGAAACTTTGTCTTGCAAATTTTTAAAATCCAATGCATTTAATCTTATGTCAAAATGTTGTGCTCCAGTTCTTGTAGGCTTTACCTGCATGAAATACATTTTTATAATTAATAAAAAGTATAAAAATAATTAATTATATAATATAATAAAACTATACTATTTAACTATTTTTTTTTATATAAGATTCCCAATAATTAACTCTTTTAAAACGAATGATCATTTTGTTTTATAATAAAATTCCTATTTTACTTAAGTTTTACAAAGAATTTCTATATTAAATTTTATGTAAATCATTAACTACACATATGAAACTTATATTTCTATATATAATCATATAAATAAATTAATGGATAAGCGAATTGTAAATACAGAAATGGTTGCTGTTTGGTCAAAATGACCTAGCATTTGTAGTCCAAACGTTAAATGAGGATAAATACCTTAAGGATGATCGTAAGTTATATATTATTTACCTCAATATTAATAAATTGAATTTCTCCTCTTGTCGCAGGTAACATATTATGAGAATCAGTTTTGTTAACTACTAAAGCTGTATCACTTTGATGTGCAATTAATATTTTATATGGCACTACTTTAATTATCCAATTATCTGTTACTATTATGCATGATATGCTATTTGTATTAATAACAGTTTTATTTATCCTGAAATACAAATTCTGCTGTTTGACCTTGTTCTCAATTATATTGTTTTTAAAATATGATACTGAAATTACTGTGTAACCTTCGATATTCTATGTTGATATCAGAAGCTACTGTGGACCATATTATATTATCAGTATTATTATTACTGTTACAATAAACTTTAAGATTTTGTACTATAGGATGTTTAGACCAGTTATTGATAGACCATATCAGAATTTTAGACAAAGTATACAGTGGAAGGAATATAGTACAAACAATAATCATTAACCACAAATTATGATGACCTAACAATATTTTTGTAACACTGATATGTCCAAAGAGAATTAAACCACACGTATAACCTAATTAAAAACGAAACTGATTTTATTATTACAATTAAAATATTTGAAATAATAGTAAAATATTTTATATTTACCAAACGGAAGCATGGAATGTACAAATAACGTAATTATACTTCTTTTTATATGATACTGTATGAATAACTCATTTTCACATCCTAACCAATTTGAAAATATATCTTTTATTGTTAATCCAGCTGAAATAAATTCTGTCGGAGGATATATAATACATCCTGATGCTAAAATGTAAGACAGTGTATAGAAGAAAAAAGCAGACATGTTTTAAAAGATATATTTTTAGTCGTGTATATTTAATGTTACATTTAACAAACAAAAATGTTAAGTACAGTATAAATACATATGACAATTAATATTTGAATTGTTTACTTTTTATAACGTTATTAATCGTCAAGCAATAAGTTATTTATTATTTGTTCACATTAAAGGTTATAGATAACTATGATTACGTAACTTTCTTAGTTAAAACAGAGAACTTTCGATAAAGTGACAGATGTTGACTTTAACACCAATTTCATAGCATTAAAATTTTCTTGATTCGGGTTTTCTACTTTACCGACTATACAGAGATTGTATTACCTACATAGGTCAAGAGTGCTAAATCAACACTCGTGTTCACTCTAGTGATATTCCCCTCGTGAAAAGTTATTTTTATACCGGTACTTTTGCCTGTATTATTAAAACTTACTTAGAACTACTACACATCACTTACTTAACTGTCTAGTAGCTCCTTGAATAAAGATAGTGATTGAATGCAGGCTCACTATTTTTGAGTACTAGCGTGAGGGGAATAAATTACTAGACACCTCTGATATAAAGCAGAGTCTGACAAACTAAACTAGGTAGGTACTCGTAATAGCGCTCACACAATTAGTGAATTGGTGGTAAAAGTAAGTACTTAAGTATATACGATAAATACTTAGTTACTGTAAATATTATAGTTTTTATGCTGTGTATTGTTAGTCCTGTTAAATTTATTTATGTTGACCGGTTACAAATTAAAAAAGTAATTTTATGTGACATAAAATATCTTTATTATAAACAGTGTCATAATGTAAATATTCTATAATATTCTATAATATTTACATTATGTTTTTAAAAAAGAATGTTATTTTTAAGATGAAATTATAATTTGTTACTATTCCATTTAGAAATTATGTATATGAAATTCATATAAGTATTTATTTTTGTTTTTCCCAATAATTAATAAAAATAATTATGACACAAATTTTTTAAGGAAGAATCATATATAAAGAAGAAACCAAAAATAAAAATTCAAAGAATCAAAATGGGCGATACAATACTAAAGAATATTGAAACAGAAAATGAAAATAGCGAAATACCTTCTATCAGTCCTAATGTACATGAACAGACCTTAAATAATTTTGCACACGAATGGAGTTCTTGTGATATATTTGAATCTTATGAAAAATTTGAAAGACCAACATCTGTTGACAATAATGATTTAGGAGTAAGAAGTGATAAGAACAATGTATTAAATTCTTCCTGCAAGATTAATGAAGAAAATAATATGTGGCAAGATGAATCATTTTTGAATGCAGCATTTACACAGTCGATTCCTTTTAATGAAAAAAATGATGTCGTGGATTGTCTTACTCAGGTTATTTATTTTTTAATGGTAAAATGATAGTTATTTATCTATTTTTATCGCATATGATTCTTTATTCTTTTAAAATAGGTTTCCACTTCACAATATGAAAATCACTTTGAAGAAACATTTTTTACTACCGATGTACATTATATGTGTGCATCTCCCAATGAACAGAAAGATACAAATGTATTAAAGAGAAATGTTTTTGACTATAAAAGTGGTATTCCAAACAAAATACACTGTTCAGAGAAGAAGGAAATAAAGAAACAATATTCAGATACTCTTAATACAAGTTCGAAAGAAAATTGTACATTTTATGGTTTGCCAAATTCTGTGAAAGATCTTTTTCTACGAATTAGAGGTATCAATAAACTCTATGGTAAGTATTTTAGTATCATATTTTTTTCACATTTTTAAAATTCAATGTTATTATTAACAAGTTTTATTTATTTAATATGTTTAAAATAATTGCTTGATTTTTATAGAATGGCAGAATGAATGTTTAACTTTAGATGCTATAAAAAGTAGGAAAAATTTAATTTATGCTTTGCCAACAAGTGGTGGTAAAACATTGGTCGCAGAAATATTAATGTTAAAAGAACTCATATGTAATAAAAAAAATACAATATTTATACTACCATTTGTCGCTATAGTACAAGAAAAAGTTGGTATTCATTTATTAACTGTAATAAAATATTCTTGTACTATTTATTCATAACATTTATATATAATTTATAGGTTCAAGCAATGACACCATTTGCATTAGAACTAAATTTTTTAGTTGAAGAATATGCAGGAGTAAGAGGAACTTACCCACCGAAAAAACGTCGTAAAAAAAATAGTATATATATGTGTACTATAGAGAAGGCACTAAGTTTAATTCACAGTTTAATTGAAGAAAATCGTTTCAACGAAGTAAGCATCAAAACTACTATTCCGTTTCAACGAACTAAATTTAAAGATCCTGAAAAAAATGACAAATCATAGCATATTATATTTATTTAAAAATATTTTAGATTGGTGTCATAGTCGTGGATGAATTGCATCTACTTGGAGAAGGTGGTGGAAGAGGAGCTACATTAGAAGTTCTCTTAACAAAGACATTATATGTTAATGGTAAACAAACGATTTACGTATATTGCATAAATTTGTGGTACAACATTATTACACAGTATTTTAATACATATTTTAGAGAACATTCAAATTATTGGAATGAGTGCAACAATAGGCAACTTGGAGGAGATAGCAAAATTCTTGAATGCAGATTTGTATACTGGAAATTTTAGACCCGTTGAAATTAAAGAGTATGTTAAGTGTGAAGATAACATTTGGCTGGTTGATTTAAAAACAGAAGATCTTTTAACGGATTTGAAAAAAATTAATTATCGTGTATGCTTATATACTTCATTTGGTTCAATAATTATACAGAACTTAATAATCATAATTGTCTTTTAATTATATCTTTATTTAATATTTTAGTATTCAAATGATGCAATAATTATAGACCCGGATAGAATTGGAGGTTTAGTCATGGATGTAATTCCACAAGACTCGTGTCTCATATTCTGTTCTTCTCGTAAGAATTGCGAAAATGTTGCTTTATTGTTATCTAGAGTTTTATTCAGGTGATTTTCCTATAATTCAACTGTGTATTAAATGTAATTAATTATTATATAAATGAATTTAGGTCGTTGGAAAAACATAAACAAGATGAAAAAGAAAATTTATTGAAAGCACTTCAAACCGAGGAAGGTCTTTGTCCTATTCTTCAACGGACCATAAAATTTGGTGTAGCTTATCATCATTCTGGTCTTACTACTGAGGAAAGACGATTTTTAGAAGATGCTTTTAGAGCTGGAACTCTTTGTGTTCTATGTTGTACGACAACATTAGCAGCTGGAGTAAATTTACCAGCAAGAAGGGTACTTTATTTAACATAGAATCTTTCCTCTAGTTAAGACTTATTTATTTCTTCTGCAATTAAACAAATATTGCAGGTGATATTAAGAAGTCCATACGTGGGTAACCAATTTTTGAATTTAAGCAGATATAAACAAATGATTGGAAGAGCTGGTCGTGCTGGCATGGGAAGCATTGGAGAAAGTATACTTTTATGTAAAAATAATGAATTATCGAAAGTAATAATAATAGTAATAATAGTAATATATAATATCATACATTATGCGAGTGAAATAATTATTAAAAACTTTTTGTTATTACTTTGTAGGTGAAAGAACTCTTAATGTCGAAAATGGATGATTCTTTAAGTACATTACACATAGACAGAGATAGAGGCATAAATAATTTAATTTTAAGTGCCACATTGTATTCTATAGCAAATACTAGATCTGAGTTACACAAAATAACAAATAGAACTTTACTTAATATTCAGCAGAAACGTTTAAATGTTAATGTAAAACATACTGCAGACCAAGCAATAACTGAATTTTTAAAAAGTGGTGTAATGAAAGTAAAGAAGAAAGGAAACTGCTATGATGTGTACAAACCAAATGTGACTGTTACAATTCCATCACAAAACGAATGTCCTACTGATACAACTACACAAATAAAAAGAAAAACAACAATTGCATTGCTGAGTGAAACTAAATTAGAACTTTGTAGCCTGGGGCGAGCAGCTTTGAAAGGTATAATTAATTTGCTTAATACAAAACTTTATACAATACTTTTCAGTTCTTTCCCTTTAAAATTTGTTTCCATTTTGTAGGTAATATTGATATACAGTCTGCATACACATTATATCAAGATTTACAAAAAGCACAAGAACACTTAATCCTTGTTGACGACTTACATCTTTTATATCTTGTTACTCCATATGATATTGTATCTCAAATAAAACCTATTGGATCTGTTTATTGTGATGTGGTAAACTATTATTATTACATATACTAAGATTCATTTTTATGTAAATATTTAAAATTTGTATGTCTTTAGGTTACTAATTTATCAGAAAATCAGATGAAAACAGCAAGACTTCTTGGAATTAATGAGGCAACAGTTGTTAAAATACGTGATGGTATAATGCCCAAGGTAATCTGTCATTTTGTGTTTGTCTTAAATATATTATTTTACTGAACTGTTTCACATTTAACAGAATGTAGAACTAAGAGTAATTCAGAGATTTTATGTAACATTAATATTGTATGACTTATGGACACATCATGCTGTTTACATATTAGCAGAGAAATATCAAGTAAATAGAGGTATTATACAAAATCTTTTGACTGCAGTCTCTTCATTTGCGTCTTCTGTAGTTCGATTTTGTCAGGTAAAAGAATGAATTTGTTGCATTTATGATTCAATCTTTTATAAAAATTTAATGATCATTCTAGGAATTAGATGAATTTTGGTCATTCAGAGATTTGTTAAGTGCGTTTAGTAAACGGTTATCTTATTGCTGTCCTTTGGAATTGGAAGCATTAATGGAGTTGCCGCTAGTGAAAATTGTAAGTTCAGTGACCATATTCTTTACAATTAATATCATTTTTACTATACTGAAATATTTGTATTTTATTTGTATTTATTAGGGAAGGGCACGTCAACTATATAATGCAGGGTATAAGACAATACAATGCATAGCCAAAGTGAAACCAAAATATTTACAAGAAAAAATTCCATATTTAAGCAAAAAGGCGGCAATTCAAATAGTTGAAGCTGCTAAAGTAATTATTTTTCAATTGAATTTATATTAACATTAACACATTAACAAGTGCTATTTTGAATTTACTTTTATCATATTTTACAGTTATTAATATTAAAAAAAGTGGAAGATCTAGAAGATGAAGTAGAATATGTTCGAGAGGGTATAGATCTGTATACTTTAAAAGTACATTAAATTGTTAAATATTTAATTCTATTACAGTATGAAGCAAGAATTTATATGAATATTAAACTAAGAGATTATAAGAAATTAAGTACGTACATGTAAATATATTGTTATAAACTTATGTAAATCTGGGTGAATAATCTACATGCTTTATTTTGTTTTATTCAGATGGTTGTAATATTTCATATAGGACATCCTTTTAATATCTGCTCTTTCGTATATTTTATGGCGTATACTGTAAATGTATAATATTATAGTTTAAGCAGACACACATTAAACATTTAAAGTGTATTTGATATTGCTTTAAAATATAGTGATATCAAACCATTGTGGTACAAATTCCATATTAATGACATAATTACAATTACTTTATAAAATGTAACAAACACAGAAATAACAAGTTTGTAAAATAAACATTTTATATTATATAGTATTTAGTAACAATTACATGCTTTTCAAACTTTATCTCTTTTTATATAAACATGGTTTTAAAGTAATAGATGGTAACTTGCTTTTTTTACTATCTATGTTTTTCTCCTTTCTAAAATCTAAAAAGTAGAATAAATTATAAGAGAAATCTTTCCATGTATTTTTAAAACCATATTCGCCTAATACTCTTATAAAATCTTCTATGTGTTCAAATCGACTCTCAACCTCCGCTATTTTCAAAATACCACTAAAAACACATTTTATTGTTGAATTAAGAGAATAAACTTTAATAACCAATATTCATATTGATTTTTATTAGTACTCACTCTTTTTTGAGAATTCTATTTGCTTCTATAATATAATCTTGAAGATTAGTTCCCATAAGAGACAAACAAAATACAACAACATGTACTCCATTTGTCAATAAAGGAGTATGTGCCATGTCACATATTGTTACATTTTTATTCAATGAAACAAAGTCAAAAGAATGTACTTTATGAGCAACAGAAGCAGAAAGTTTTGCTTCTCCACAACCAAAATCAGCAATAATATAATCTTTTGGCCTGTAATAATAAAATTAAAAATTAAAAATTAACCAATACCTTTTTTTATATGATTCACTAACATTTTTTTAATGGATGATATTATAATATCAATGGGATTCAAAGGCCATTGTGCAACTTGTTGTTTATATCCTTCATGATAAGCTTTAAATGCATCTGGATCATCTTTGAAGTATTTTTTTGATTCAATACTTTCACTATTATACATTGTTTCATTCAAATATCTAAATCTGGATGCTTTTAATTTAGACATCATTCTTTCTCTTAGAGGTATTATTTCTGTGTTAGCTTTCTTCCTTTTTGTTTGTTTTTGTTTAACAGTAAGCATTTCTTCTAACTTTTTAATATCCAAATTACAATGTCGTAATCCCATTTGAGTCTTGTCATTTTCTTGTGTAGAAGGGATTGATTTTTTCTTTTGTTTTTTTTCCTTTTGCACTAATGAATTAATTTTTGCTATTTTATTATTTACAATTTTCTTTTGTTTACAGTTTTTTATTTTCTTTACATTTGGCAGTAATGACTGTTTTAATTGTTTTGCAGATCTCTTAATACTATTTACTTTTCCATTAGATTGTTTAGTATTTTGATTCCCATTATACTTGTGTTGTTTGCTTTTCCCAGTTTTTCCAAATTCCTCTTCTTTTCTTTCATTTTTACTTTGACTTTGAATTTTTCTGTCCTTAACGTTTGTTATATTTGTTATTGTTGCAATGTTAGAATTAAGAAGATTAGAAGTCTTAATACTCTTATCTTCATGAAGCTTCTTCAATTTTTTTTTAAGCCTCTGTGGTTTTCTTTTAAGTTTACTTTTAAATTTTACATTCTGCTGTTTAACTACAACAGATTTATATTTATTTTCATTTTTATCTTTTTGCTTTTTTTTCTAAAAGAAATAAAACATATATGACATTGTATCAGGCATGGTGTTGATCCCATTATAAATGTTTTGTAACATTGTTTCTTTCAGTGAAAATGTATGACTGTTATGGATGAAAAAGTACATATTTTACCTTTAGAAAATTTTCTTTATCAAGAGTTTTACCACCACTTTTTTTGTTAGAAGTGTACTTCTTTACTTTCTTAACCATTTTGTTTATACTCACAAACAGTTTTTACTCAAGAAGAACTTCAAGTTGTGTTCGATAGAACCTGTAAAACAATCACATGTTAAATTATTTCGAAAACGAATTGTTGACTTTGGACTGCTTCCACATTGTTAGAACATGTTATATGGGGTTCCAATAGATGGCACTTAATTTATTAGACTATAATCAATGTGTTAGTAACGTAGATTGTAGATAAAGTTAATTTCTATTTGTTATTAGAAATTGTTTAACTATACGTTTTAAAATTCTTTTGTTAATATCCGTGGTATTCTTTTTGTAAATAGTCAGTTAGGAACAAGCCGTCATAGAAATTGGTTGATAAAAATATTTCAATATTATAAATTAGTGAACATTGTAAATAAATATATTAAATAAAGAAACACGTCACAAAACGTGTGGCGGACTAGTTATGATAAGGAAGAACCCTTCCTCACCTACGAGTTCGAAGAATTCTCTCTTATTGATGTTTTCATGCAGAACATTTTATTGTACAGATTATCAGTTTTATAAATTAAACGCTCATTGTTAAAAACAGTTGTTCACTTCATTAAATATCTCAAAGAGAATAGACGTGTTAATTATTCATGGTAAAATTGTTAATAAATATTATATTGTATTGCAAGGATGTTTAAGGCGTGCCGTGGACGCTCTAATAACATCCTCCCCTCACGAAAAGTTACCCCCACCATACTAACCTTTCCTTTTGTATTGAACACTACTCCATAGAACTGTTCCATACCAGTTTGGACAGTTTCTCTAGTGAGGTAGTGAGTAAAGCTGTTGTGAGAGTTGTGTACCTTCACCCCAGATGGCAGTAGAGTAAGAATTGCGACGAGCACGCTGACTTCCGACTGAGTCGAGGAATTATCTCTTTGCTCAGCGCCCTCGAACCGTCAAAATGTGAGACACGCAACACAGTTTTATTTTACTGCGTACCACCTAGTTCTTTCTGCTCGACTCATCCCAACACTAGTTACTAGGGAAGTAAGATAGACACTTCTGTTATAAAACATGTTTATGATTGTAGCGACATGCAAACATGCCTGCAATAAATTCCCGCCAAATTCTTCTCGTCTGTTTTGACAAACGCTAATATTGAATAACTTTTGTACATACAAATTGAATTTGCCGATAATTAAAGAATGGATACCGGTAATACTCAAACTGCTCGTATACGTGTACCTGATGAAGTTGGAATTAAATGTCAGAAATTGTTCCAAGATTTTTTAGAAGAGTAAGACTTTAAATTCTATTAAATATGATGTATAGATTAAATGCGATTATATCAAGTTTAATAAAAACTTGTTGTATAAGTTTTTACTAGTCTGTAATACATTATTTTAATTAGGTTTAAAGAAGATGGAGTTGTAAAATATCTTGCCCCAGCAAAAGAGCTTGTAAGTCCAGAGCATAGTACATTAGAAGTGACTTTTGACGATGTAGATGAATACAATCAAGTACTTTCAACAACTATAGTTGAAGAATATTACAGGTAAGAAATTAGGATTAAAATTGTTGTATTTATTGTACTATTATTAAATTAATTATGATTTCTATCTTTAGTTACTAACTTCTTTTCTCTATACATTGTAAATTATAATATATCATTCTTTTCCAGAGTTTACCCATATCTGTGTCAGGCGGTATATAATTTTGTTAGAGATGTATCAGACTTAAGGAAAGAAAAAGAATGTTATGTAAGTTTTATAGAAGTACCAACTAGGCAAAAATTAAGAGAATTAAATGCATCAAAATTGGGTACACTTATACGCATATCTGGACAAGTAATACGAACACATCCTGTTCATCCAGAATTAGTAAATGGAACATTTGTTTGCATGGATTGTAATACAGTCATAAAAAATGTTGAACAACAATTTAAGGTATAGTGTTGTTATATATAATATTATATATTATATATGTGTTATTAATTACTGCAATGAGAATAATCTGTTACAGTTCACAAATCCAACAATTTGTCACAATCCAGTTTGTAGTAATAGACGACGTTTTATGCTAGATGTAGATAACTCAGTATTTGTAGATTTTCAAAAAGTCAGAGTACAAGAAACTCAAGCAGAATTACCTAAGGGCTGTATTCCACGCTCACTCGAAGTAATTTTAAGATCTGAAGCAGTAGAAACTATACAAGCAGGGGATAGGTACTTCATTAGGAATTATGTTACACTGCTAATACTAATGAAATATTTAAATACATCTTTCTATATATTTTTCTAGATATGACTTTACAGGAACTGTGATAGTTGTACCAGATGTTGGAGTTCTTTCCCTTCCTGGTATAAAAGCAGATGTTAGCGCAAGACGTCAAAAACGAACTGCTGAACAAGGGGAAGGAGTAACAGGCCTAAAAGCATTAGGAACTAGAGAACTGACATATAAGACTGCCTTTCTGGCATGTAGTGTTACACCAACAAGCTTCAGGGTATAAGATTAAATTTTCATATTTATATGATAATACAAGTCTATAGACACGGTTTAATGCATAATGCTCTATAGTTTGGTGGAACGGAAGCAAACATGGAAGAAATATCACAAGAAATGATGAAAAAGCGAATGACAGAGGCAGAGTGGAATCGTATATATGAAATGAGTCGTGATAAGAATCTTTATCAGAATCTCGTTAATAGCTTATTTTCTTCGGTACACGGCAATGATGAAGTTAAGAAAGGGATTACCTTAATGCTATTTGGTGGAGTTCCAAAGACAACATTAGAAGGCACATCATTACGAGGAGACATAAATTGTTGTATTGTTGGTGACCCTAGTACAGCAAAATCTCAATTCTTAAAAAGTGTTACTGAAATTACTCCGAGAGCAATTTACACTTCAGGAAAAGCATCTTCAGCAGCTGGTTTAACAGCTGCTGTAGTAAGAGACGAAGAGTCTCCTGATTTTGTTATAGAAGCTGGTGCTTTAATGCTCGCAGATCAAGGTATTTGTTGCATAGATGAATTTGATAAAATGGAACCCAAGGATCAAGTGGCGATACACGAAGCTATGGAACAGCAAACAATTTCATTAGCTAAGGTTTTTGATATAAATATATACACATAATATATATTTAATATATAATGTTATTTTATGGATATTAAAAGTCTATATAATAACTTATATTACATTTTTATATTACGGAGTATTATTACAGATATATATATTTTTAGGCTGGTGTTAGAGCAACTCTAAATGCTCGTACATCGATATTAGCTGCAGCAAATCCTGTTGGTGGACGATATGATAGAAAGAAATCATTACAACAAAATGTTCAATTAACAGCTCCTATTATGTCTAGATTTGATTTATTTTTCATAATAATTGATGAATGTAACGAAATTGTGGACAATGCAATTGCCAAAAGAATAATTGATTTACATTGTGATAATTTTCAAGATTTTGAAACTGTATACTCACAATCCGAGATTGTGAGGTATATTAATTTTGCTAAACATTTTAAACCTCTGTTAAACCAGGTATTTTTGTATACTTTTACGTATAAACTGATAATTTGTTAGATCATTTCGTTCAAATATTAAAATTCAAATTTTATAGGAAGCTGCAGATTTCTTAATTGATAGTTATACAACACTTAGACAGAGGACTGGTACTGGTTCTGGAAAATGGAGAGTTACTGTTCGACAATTAGAAAGTCTTATTAGGTTATCAGAAGCTATGGCTAAATTAGAATGTTCAGATGAAGTTACAGTAAGGCACGTCAAAGAGGCGAAACGTTTATTAAGTAAAAGTATTGTTACTGTTGAACAACCAGACATAGATCTAGAAGAAAACGAAGATGAAAATATGGATGTCAATACAGATGATGCTCCACCACTTATGGCTGCTCTAAATGCATTAGATAGTACTGACGATAACACAACTAATGCACAAGGTAACTCATTCTATTTTTTTTACTTAATCCTCTATGGGCCGAATTTTTGTTCATGATTATAACAAAATCTATGCAGTACAAAATTAATAAATATCCACATGTGAATACGAATTAACAATGTATTTAATAGTTTCAATAATTTCATTAAACATTTCATTAAACATTTATATTTTGTAACTTTCAAGTTGCAATGACATTGAACTGTCACACCTGAGGGTATAAAAGTTCAAGTTAACTGATTACTTAATTTTATTCACCACTTTGCCGTGCAACATGAAATAAATCAACAAGATGCCATTATATTAATATGTGACTTCAAAGTTACATAGGCCTACGGAGGGTTAACTTCAATATGTTCTCTTTATTTCTGCATAAATAATTCTTTTCATTGTTTGTTGGTCATATGATTACTCCCAATGCATTAATAATGATAACAACAAAAATCTCTAATAAATTATTACTTACTTTTATTTTACATATGCTACCTATAGAAACACAGGACCTACACAAAAAAAAGTTAACAATGTCTTTTGAAGAATACAAGAATTTATCTAATATGTTAATATTGTATATGAGAAATGAAGAAACTCGCGCTGAAACATTACCTACAGGTACATTACTGTAAATAATATCAGAACAACGTGTGCCACAAACGTTTTTTTAAACTTAAAAATTAAATAATAATATTTTCTATAGCCGACACCAAAGGCGGGTTAAGAAAAACAGAATTAGTGGCTTGGTACCTCGATCAAATACAGGACCAAATAGATTCAGAAGAAGAGTTACTAGAAAGAAAAAATTTCATTGAAAAAATTATCGATAGATTAACGTATCATGTATGTACTAAAATTTCTGTTATAAATTGTTTAAATTTTATTTTACTACGAGTAATTCATATAATTGTATACTTTTCGTTTTAGGATCAAATTATAATACCCCTTCACACTGGTCTTAAAGGAAAAGATGAAGAAGACGACGATGATCTTTTACTTGTTGTACACCCTAATTACATTATTGATGTTTAAACTGTAACACTAAGGTTTTTCAAAAATAATAGCAAATAGAGGTAAAGTGAAAATAAAATAATGTTTATTATCTGATTAGTAAAAAATTCTTTCTGTCTTATAGCAATAAAAAAACTGAAAAATATGATATCACAATATGTGCATTTTTCTGTATAATAAAATGAAATTTTATCTTTACTTGCTATGCTTTCAATTCTGAAGTTACTCAAATTAATTTAAAAAAGAAATGAATGAGCGCTACTACTTTAAGTACATAGTACTTCAGCATTTTTTTTATGTGTTAATTATCATTTTTTTCTTGAATTGTTATTTCATTGAGAGGATTAATTAACTGGGAAGGATGACCAATTTGTTTATTGGTGTGATTGTTAAAAATAGTTGAAGAGCAATAAGCAATTATATCTCTATGTGTAATGTTTAGGTGTGTAATTCTAGCAGTTCAAGGTTATTTCTCAAGTTTACTGTTGACCACAGAATTTTGTTTAACATGGAATCTTAGTCCCTGGTTGTTACAACTCATAGTTGATGGTTCTGAATATGGTATTGGGTGAGACTTGTGTATTACTATAACTGATCGGTCGTAAGACATTCTGCAAATTTGTAGATCATGAAACAGAAAGCAGCATCCAATACTGGAGCTATTACAAAGTTTAAAAAAGGGTAGATGCGCGTACTTTGTATGCACTTCTGTTACATTTCTACGAGAAGTGGGTTGGCCAGCACGAATTTGCTGTACACCATTGGATTCTGCAGACATTTCTGAAGAGGAACCCCCTCACGGGAAGTGTGAGAACGGTTTTTCTTTCGGGCAGGTTAAGAAAATGTCCGTGAAGAAACACGAGCACGAAACTTTGGCGCCACACAGCCATCGCCACAGGACCCCGGTCACTTCTTATATGTATATATATAATGTTTAATTGTTTTATAAATTTTCATAATAGTTATGAGAAAGTTTTCACGATCGTTCTGTTTTAAATAATTTGATGTTTAATATAATAATTTAATATAATATAATATAAAGCAAAAACATCATTGTAATCGGTTTCTTACATGGTACATCTAATGATATTCTGAATTCAAATAAAGTATTAAATTTGAGTTAAAAAACTATTACACTAAGTAGGATCTACAATGGATGTTTGCTGCAGTAGTTTTAAGTTAATACTAAAACTACTGAGTATATCCGAATATTCGTTACAGTTCCAGTAAACTTAATTAATTTTCAAAAACATTTCAGATATCTATTACCTTCAAGATATTAATAATCGAAAGATAATATAATTTATACCGGCAATTTTGACTGATTCGATAGTTTTAGTGTTAATCATCGTAATAATATTACTCGTATATGTGTATTCACATATTAAATATCAAATTATTTAAAACAGAACGATCGTGAAAACTTTCTCATAACTATTATGCAAATTTATAAAATAATTAAATATTGTATATATACATATAAGAAGTGACCGGGGTCCAGGTCTATACAGCGCGTAGTAACGGCCCTGTATAGCTGTGGCCGGCGAGCGATGGCTGTGTGGCGCCAAAGTTCCGTGCCCGTGCTCTTCACGGACATTTTCTTAACCTGCCCGAAAGGAAAACCGTTCTCACACTTCCCGTGGGGGGGTTCCTCTTCAGAAATGTCTGCAGAATCCAATGGTGAACAGCAAATTCGTGCTGGCCAACCCACTTTTCGTAGAAATGTAACAGAAGTGCATACAAAGAACGCGCATCTACCCTTTTTTAAACTTTGATCATCGTTTACAAACATTTAATGATATACAAAATTCAAATTTTTTATAGCTACATATTCGGGCAAGTCTTCTCTATTTTCTACGACAAATGTTAACTGCCTATCGTTTTTAGTTTTCACATAACACTTGGTTTTCTGAAAAATTCGACCGTTTTTACAAAACCCCAGTTTTTTCGAAAACTGGACCTGACCCAGCAATTTGGTTTTCGGATTCGTATTTAGGGTAAGGAACTCTATAAGAATCACATAGCGGTTATTGCAAAAAGTAACATAGGTTACTTTCAATCAAAATTTGTTCCACCGTGTAATTTATAATATCCAGAAAATTCATTATCACGTATATACTCGTGAATTAAGCTCCATAAAAATTCCACTTTGCAGTTCTTCCTCATAAGAGTTTGTAACAACATCCAATATAATTCGAAGAAATGTAAGAGTATATCAGTTAATGTATTATTAATATCTTACTGATTGGTGATTTTGTTTGAAAACTTTTCTGTGCAGTAAATTATTCTTTCATAAATGAATATGAAATGAAAACATCT